CAAGGTTATAACTTTAGAATATTTTAACATAAATAATGTTAAATTATAAATATCATATGCAATATATTATATTAAAATATAAGATTGCAGGTTTATCATCGAATCTATTAGGGTGGGCAAAATTAAAGTTAATGCTAGTAAAGTTAAAGTTAGAAGTTGGCTAGGAATTACTAATTTAGGATGATCTGTATTTTAACCGGTTAAGTTAGCCGGTTAATTAGTCGGTTAATTTAACCGGTTAAATTAACCGGTTAACCGTTTTTTGAGAGGTCTTAACCGGTTAACCGCCTTAACCGGTTCCAATCCCTAACATTGAGTGTCATTGATACTATAAAATTTCAAATTTCTAATATTGTGAATAAAATTTGTATTCTGTAAAATTAATTCAAGAATATTATTGATAAATACGTTACAAAAAATCATTGTGTCCTCAATTTCGAGGGTATGTAAATTTATTTCATTTTCAAAAAATATTGTTAATAGTGGTACATATATATTTAACCTATCAATATGATATAGTGAATGTAATTTAACAGATAAAATAAAATTATATGTATTTAAATATTTTAAAAAACTATAGTGTATTTGAAGGTAATGAATTATTTATTTGATTTCATTTTAATATCATCATTTAAGTAAATATTAATAACACGATATTTTGATTTTCCCATAATAACGGAATCGTTAAACGACACCATAATCTGTTAACTAAAATACATGAATGTAAAGTTGAATGATCCTTTTGGAAATATTTTATAATTTTTTATGTTAAAAGGGGAAGTATCAAATTGTTATTATTACGCCGATCTTAGTAAATTTGATTACGATATTGTCGCACAATTCGTCATATTTTATGAAGTCGCAGTAACTGACATGGCAGTTTGCTATTTACCACCGAAGGAAAATCGCAAAATGTCGGAATAACTATTTACTTTCCATTTTCCATTTGGTAATTGTGTATCTGAATTTTTTAACCGAGTTATCCTTGACATTTTTGTGAGATAAACTCACTTTTCCGGTAAGAATTCTAACTACTTCTTACTCTAATTTTATTCGTTCTTTAACCGTTAACATCAACTTCCAACTCCCTAAGTCGATTTTCCAAATTTGTAGTCGTTTCTTTATATTTATCTATTTCCTCATCTTTACTCGATATTATTCGTTCCTTTTCTTTTACTTCAGTTTCTATTTTGCGTAATTTTTCTTCTTCCAGCTCACGTGATATTGTGTTGTTGCACTCACCGGTAAGAAGTGCAAGGAAATTCTTAAAAATTTTTTAAAAAGCTGAAGTATCATAGTCTACTAAAAAACACACTGTAAACTGTAAATTCTCTGGCCTAGCTTGTCCATCTTTAAACATACGCGGTCAGTTGTCCCTGTAAGTCCATTTGTATCCAACAGTGTATTTATCTTAGTTGAAAACTCGTCACACTCTTCACTTTGTATATCTCCTGCAATACTTATCTTCCAAGTTCGATAAACTATTCAACAAATATTGTTATGTAAGTTGTAAAACAACCTCTTCCTGCGTTACAGCTTTTGTTTTTGACATTTTGTATATATCTTTTGTTATAAAAATGTTTTTTCTTCCACTAAAATTTTGGCTTGGAATTTAACTCATTTTTTCGTATAATTATTTTCCATAGAAACTTGCCTCTTGTTTAAAATAAACACAATAAACTATTTTTAAACATGCTTAATAGTTATAATAAATACTTTTACATTTTTTATAAAGAATTTACCAAGAATAAGTTATAAAAATTAATTTATTTTAATTTGAGTTTTATGCAAGCTGAATTTTTTTCTTTTGAAAACCCTAAAATCAGTAAAACAAAAAAAGCACATATTATGGAAATTATGGAAGCAACAATTTTAATTTCCTATATTACTATCAAATATGATTACTGAACAATTGATATTTTAACTTTTAATGCTCATAAATTTTAAAAGAAATATGAAACTTGATATTTTCATCATCTAATGATTATACAAAAACAAATTAAAGCTTATTAGATTTATTTTACACTTGGATATTAATATGAACAAGCCAAAAAGGAATTGGAAATGATAAATTATATAAAGAACTGTCAAAGAAGTAAATTATGATGCGGAAAAGTGCCTTACATTATTAGTACATAAACAAGGCGAAGTATTGTAAGATTTGGAAATTTTTTTAAAACTAAGGAATTTAAATTTATGAATATTATAAGTGAATACTAGTTATTTTTAATTTTTTAAAAATCTTTCTAGTTTATAACAATTCGATTTAAATTCTTACTAATATTTTTGCTTTTTTCTGGACTAAATAACCTTTCTTGTTTTTAATCTTCATACTATTGTTTCACGGATTTTTTTTGCGTTTTTGATTTAATAAATAATGAATTAGATTTATTGAATAATATTGATAATACATGATAAATAAAAAAAAATTATTTAAATTACAAACTAAGAAACGCGTAAAATATTTTTACTATTCTAGTCTTAGTGTTTAAATAATTCAAAATAAAATTTCCAATATCGTTTGTTATTTTAAAATCCATCTAAAAATAGAATACATATAATAATATAAATAAGTAATTAAGATATCATTTATACAATATTAAGAAAATATTAAGAAACTAACCATCAGGAATCTCAAATTTATCTTGATCTTCTGAATGAAGGTTTGGATTATTATTTATTTCGTCATCATCTATAAAAGGACAAAAATATTTAATTTAAATATTGCAAAAATAAAATGAAAATTTATAGTAAAAAACATTACTTACCATTAACTGATCCTTTCATTTGTTGCATTGTTTCTTTCTTATGATCATTTTGAATGTCTAAATTTTTAAATAAATAAGATTATAATAAATATTTTCTAATAAACGACTAAAATTTAAAATAGTATTACTTACCATTCTTTGAACTTATTTGTAAGCTTTTAAATACTTTAGATAATCTTTTACTACCACCTAAAATTGAGATAAATTTTGTATCATTATCTCAAAAATTTGAATATATAAATAAATTACCTTTAATAATACTATTTATTCTTGATGTTTTATTAATTCTCTGATCGTTTGAATTATTAAAATCTTCAACTAAAAAACGAAAATTTGATTAATAAATATTTCATCAAATGAAACAATCAATAAATACCTACTATTATCAGGAATACTAAAATCATATGTTTTACTATGAAATGCTATTTAAAAAATAAGAAAAATAGGTTATAAATTATTTAATAGTTAATAAAATAACAATAAAAAAGCTAACCTTCTTGTTCTTCTATAATGTATAATAATTTAAATTAAAAAAAATTAGTAACGTCATCATATCAAACAAAAAACTTAGCAAATAATACCTTCTGTTGCATTTTTTGGTTCGGGTAAATTTTCAAATTGATGAACTTTGCTCGTAAATAATCTGCTGCTTATATAATTTATGCTAGTTTTTATTTCAAAATTATTCATTGCTTTTGATTGGAAAAATTCATCTGGCATATTTTGATATGATAGATGAATTTCTCTTATTTTTTCCTGAAGAGATTTAATATCAGGTCTTTTTAATGGATCAGCATCCCAACATTGTACCATTAAATTTTTATATTCTAAAGGAATATCTGACATAATTTCTGGTCTCATACCATTAATTATATCCATTGCAAGGTTATAATCATCATGCTTATAATCAATAAATGGCGAATATCCAGATGAAATTTCCCACATAAGTATTGCAATACTATAAATATCAGATGCAAAAGTAAATCCTTTTCCATTAATAACTTCTGGTGCTATGTAAGGAAGATTTCCATATATACTTTCCGATGATTTATCAGCAGGTCCACAAAATCCAAGATCACCAATAAACCATCTATCATTATGTTGTGAATATAATATGTTTCCGGAGTGCAAATCTCTATGAATTGCTTTTTCAAGTTGAATAAAATAAAGTGCATCAATTATTTCAAAAGCAATTCTAATTTTTTCTTTCCATGTAAGTAGATTATAATATTGTTGTAAATATTTTCTTAAATCCATATCCAATTTCATCATTACAAGCATGTAATTTCCATTTGATAAATTTTGTGTTAAACCATAACATCGAACAATTTCTGCCCATTTATTATTTATAGTTAAATGTGAGTTAGCCTAAATGATACATGCCATTGTTAATATAAAAAACTTTAAATCTCATAAAAAAATTTAAAATATAATCATATTGTGTATACCTCTTCAAACCAACTTTGATTTGCATTTTCAACATTTTCTAATTTTTTAAGTACTACCTTTTCATCTCCAAATCTTTCTAATTGCTGTTCACTAAAATTCCATTTTATATAACTTCCACCAATCCAACTTGCTGTATAAATTTCAGAAAATCCACCTTTTGTTAGATATTCAATATTTTTTAAATTATTATATGGAATCCATTCAGCTACCGTATCTGGCACAAGTGTTTCTAATTGACATTTCTGTATTAAATTATCAATATCATTATTTCCGGATGTCCAATTTTTAAAATTTGCTTTTAAATAATTTCGAACACAATATTCACAATATGATGTAGCTAAACATTCTTGATTACAATTTTCACAAATTCTTTTTGTTCCTGAATTAGAAAGAACTTTATTTCGGTCATAAGTCTCAGTTATGTAATTTATCGCTTCAGTTTTTTCATCATCTGTAAGAAGTTTATCATCAAGAATAATTTGTTTTTGAAATTCATATTGTTTGTGCATGTCAGTGTGAATATTATAATCAATTAACGAATATGCTCTCTGAACTGTCGCATAAACTAATTCATATCGGATAGTAGACATAATGCAATTTTTATTATAAAGGTTTAAAATGAAAACTTTTTTTTATTTTATTATTAAAATAAAAATAAATTGTAAAAATGAAATTTTTTTTTTTTTTCAAAAAAAAAATTAAAATTCAAAATTCCGAAACAAAGAATTTTGGAATGATCTGAAATGTTATGTAACAATTACACAAACAAGTTTAAAATAGACATCATAAACTATTTTTAAACATGTTTATCGCTATAATAAATTTTACATTTTCTATAAATAAATACTGTAACTAAAAATAAAAATACATCTAAGTGTAAAGTTATAAAATAATTTCTTTTAATTTGACGAAAGAATTAAAAGAATGAAAATAGTAGTGATTATATTATCGTTACTTCGTGGCTATGATTTTTTTTGCAAACTGAAAATTTTCTTGTAAAATCAGTGAACCAAAAAAAAGTATATATTATGTAAAAAGAATAACTCAATTCTATATATTATAAAATTTTCCTATAATACTAACAAATTTATCAATAAAATAAATAAAAAATTTTGAACAGTGTCTCAATTTATAAAATTCATAAAATTATAATTATTAAATAGTATTTATTTTTGGTTTCAAATTTTCACAGCAAAAACCTATAAGAAAATAAACAACATGTTAGAAAAAACGTTCTTTTATAAAGTTATCAAAAGTCAAGTTCATAGTTCAAATTTCTATAATATTGTCTTGCAAGTTGATAATGCACCTCTTAATACTTTTCCGCCAAAAACTAGATCGAATCAATATAAACGTAGGAACATACACATAATATTCGTACAATAGAAGTAATTATACAGTAAATGTAAATTATTTTATGCACTTTTACGATGATATAAATATTCTCATCTATAAGCATTTGATCTAAAAAATATATCTTAAACGAGAAGTTAAACATCAACATCTCACTTTCGGTAGTAACATTTTTAAGCTTGTTTTTATCATTGTAAGCGATGTCAACCTTTCAAAGGTACGGTTCCTATGATTAACTTTATCACTTATCTCTCGATAGATAAGAAACTTGAGATCTCCAATTTTATCACAATCGATTTAACGTCACTAATAAGGTTATTATTACAAACGTTAACCGAGAAAGTATCACTAAAAAGAAATCTTTCCTAGGAATGATACAACCATTTCGGAGATAATTCTATGAAGTGATAATAAAATGAATTTTGAAAGTTTGAAGGTATATATATACTTGCAAAAATCTTTCCGGATTCATCATGACTAATAATAAAATAGACTCTTGTTCAGTGGATTATAATGAATAAATAATAAGTAAAAAAATTAATTTATTAGTTAAAAATTTATGCGAAAGAAATGTTTAATATGATTTACATGAAAAATTCTCATGAGTATTTATCATGAGTATTTATCATGAGTATTTGTTGAATTATTGTTATGAAATTTTTCGGTCATACGATAGCCCGCATTTGAGTGCGGAAAATGTGACTTTGTTACAAACCTAATTTCAGAATTTTTCATGGAAATGAGTCATGAGCCAAAAGAGACGAATCTTGATAATTCGCAAAATAAAAATGCCATATATCACAGCCGGCTTATCTCATATTAGAATGTCTGAATGTACGATAGAGAATTCAGAGATCTGTTGGTCATCATTTGCCATTGATCAAGGACCGCTTCAAATAGAAAAGACTTCATTTTTATTGAAATTTAAAACTACCAATTTATACACGCCGTATTACCCTTAAATAATCCGTCCAGATTTTATTTACATAATTACTTTTTTTATTAATAAATTTATTAAAACGTCATGTGAAATTAAATTATGTCCTGGTAAATAACGACCAGTCACGTGACATAGAAAATTCCTAACTATTCTTTTAAAATATATTAACTAGTTTGGGTTTGAAAAGGAGGACCAAAAATAAGAAAAAAAAATATTTTCTGGTTTTGAAAAAAAAAACTGAATAAAAAAAAATAATAAAAAAAAGGTAAGCGGCAACACGATATACTGCGGCTGATCGCATCACCCAGGGGAATAAACTACCGTAGTATCATAACAAAAAAAAAATCTGATCAAGCTTTCCTGAATTAGCCACAAAAATCTTCACGAGTCAACCAACTGAAATAGATCAGACGCAGATATCGCAGATATATCGTTATTTAGGCCATCTATTAGTCATGACCATGAAAAATTACTCATATTGTCATATTGTCAAACAATTGTATTATGCAAGATACTATATATCTTATTATTAGTCACTGTGTATTCGAAAAAGTATTTATATACCCTCAATACCCCTCTTTTTTTTCATCATCTTTTTTTTTCGTCAACAATATTATATATACACAATATATACTTTCATCATCTTTTTTTTCGAGGTCTATCTTCTCTCTATCTGCCTAGGCTTCTCTTTATTAGTCTTCTATCTCTTAGGCCCTTTTCTTTACATCTTCCTTTAGAGTGTGGGGGGAAGTGTGGTTGAGTTTGTGTGTGGTTTTATCATATTTATTTTCATCTTTATTCTTATTAGGTTTTCTTAGACCCTTTTTTTTCATTTCGTCATCCTTTTTTTTCGTTTCGTCATCTTTTTTTTCGCTTCGTCATCTTTTTTCTTTCGTTTCATCAACTTTTTTTTCGTCAACTTTTTTTTCATCTTTTTTTTTAGGTCTATCTTCTCTCTGTCTAGGTCTTCTCTTTATTAGGTCTTCTTTTGGCCTCTCTCTCTTTAGGTATGTGGGTTGTAACTCGCAAAAGGTTGAACAAGATATACAAGAATCATTTCTAAAAAATAAGGAAGGTTTACATATATCATTTTTATCTAATATTAAAGGTATGTTGAACTGTTTTTGTAAAGCTATCTAGTGAAGGTGAACAAGTGGATGCAATGATCAAGGAAGTTACGGCAACCTTGTGAGATGGCAGGTCTATCTATGATAACTCTGTTAACTGACGGACTTGGCTGAGATACGAATAAGATCTTCTCAGTGTTGAGGTCTACTATTCCGCAATGAGGAATAGTTACGTGCCTTCCTCAACTTTGACTCATGCAATTGATTTGTTCTCATTGAGGACTTTTGAATTCAGAGAACTGGAAGCGCTTCGTGGCCACAGTTTTACTGTGAACGTCCTTCTCTGTTTTCAGAATTTCTGGATGATAACAAATCTCTTGTGTGTCCAGGAGAGATGTCAGTGAACGGACGCAATAACCTAAAGCTGTGTTTTTGTAAGTTCTTTCAAATAGATACTTGTAGCTATACCTTTTATTGTGCAGTTTTCAGGAACGGACGGTGAAAATGTCGACACTAATATATAGGAAGAAGATCCGCACTGCTTCGTTATGTTACTTGATACTTTAGAAGGATACTGCCTCACGTCACTACCAGATAGCAGGATGAAATTCTTAAGTAGAGTACTTAGCGAAAGCTAACCATCCTTTTTAATTTATAGATGTCCCACAAGAAATTTGTAAGAACAACATTTAGTTATAATGAAGTGTTGGATGATGATTCTGAGG